TAATACACTAAATTAGTATATAGTTGTAGTCTGTTTCTTTTTCTAATATATATATATATTAGATAATTATACTTTTACATAGGAAAGAGCAAATCTAGCTAAAACAAAGTCAGTCCCTTCCTTATCTAGTTTCCCGCCAAATGCTTCGAGCTCTCAATTAAACTTTAGCATCTACTTAATTCTGTAATAAATTGGAACTTACTTCACGCTGGAAGCCAATTTAATGACTATGATTACACTGTGCGCTTAGTCCGCGACTTATGTGATAAGCATTCTTGTTTAACCAATAGATTAAACAAAACGCCTACCATATAGGCCGCGGATTAAGCGCACGGTGTAAACCAGGCTAATAACTGTATCAAAAATTGAGCCTGCCGAAATTACACCGATGCTTTTTCCTTTTGTAAACTTACCTGCCATTCCGCGTTACACTCCGGATCCTGTTGAACGTCTTTGATTCCATTAGGAAACGCTCGACCATACGCTTCCTCGCGTTTCTTCCAATCGGCCATGAAGAAAAAAAATGCATTTCTGCTTTTATTCTTCGACATTTGTCCCGGCGAGAATAAAGATTCCTACTGTCGTGAACGTTCTGAATGTAAACAAATCTGAACGATTTTGGTATGTCCACTGGTACTCCACTGGGCACTGGACTTATTATGCCTTTAACCTCTTCACGAAATGCTCGAAATTAGCAAATAATAAATCAAGCAAGTCTAATACAGAAAATAGGTTAAGATCCAATAATTGATCACGATTGACTAACAACTACTAACATGGCGCGAGTTTCGAAATCCGAACCTCCACAGTCTCCACAGGACCAATTTGACCACTGCCAATAGGTATTTATTTATCATTGTATTAAAATATTATAGATGATGCATCGGAATATTATAGAATATGCGCAAGAATATAATTCCGAGAAATATAAACATAAACTTAATCTATTTTCGACTAATATAACTGTTTTTCATTTCTGCACTAAACTTTCTTGCTTTCGCCAAATATTATACGTATAAGAATATAAGGTGAAATATTGCGCATAATGACGATAGCAATACTGGAAATAATCAATCAAATGTTCCCCAATATGCACTTTCCTGCGTATAATAACGCTGATTATGCAGGAAAAGCCAATCAAATATAACCCAAATTCACTCTCCTACTGCGCGGGAGTACTTCACCTTATATTCTTTCCATCATACGTATAGCTATTTCACTTTTAAATTCCAAAAGTGTACAGCCACAAGAGATCCTTTGTTACAATTCATGCAATTTATTTAAAATAAGAAGATAGTTATACAACCTCGAATGCCTCGAAAAAAAAAAAGAATAAACATTAACATTTGATGCTGACTCAGTGGCACTCAATATAACAAAAAAATAAAAAAATAAACTATTAATCTTTTGTAAGCCTAGTAATCCTAATTTATCATTATATCCTTATTTTACGTCTGAAAAATGATGAAGATAGAATGATTTAGCGCCAATAGGCTTTCCTCGATAACTGTAACCAGTTGTAAGCAGAGATGGGGGTGATAGAACCAATTGGATTGTGACAGCATATTATGTGTATTGTGTTCAGAATGCGCGTGCTACACGAACAAGAGTTAAGTGTATTGTATATATGTATGTGAGAAATATTCTTTTATCAGCGATAAATTCGTTGACAAAATCCATCTTCCATTCAATAATAAAAGTAAAGATACTTTTATTATTGAGAGATTGTAACTCACATATGATTCTTGGTGAATTTTAACTTATGCCTTTGACACAAGAACAGTTTATTTATTCTACATATTTTTATTTAGAAAAAAATTTGAATGTTTAAAATTATTATGTATTAAATATAATATAAAAAAAAATTCATAAAAAATTTAATAACTTAGTAGCATATAATGAAAATTAATGAGAATAGGGACATGATTTTTATGAAAAGGTTATTATAAGGAAAATAGAAAGCTATAAATCTCAAAAATAATTTTCTGATAATATTACACAATAAATATGTACATTAAATATATATTTAATCCAATGTATAATTAATCCAAATTCTTTTTAGTGGAGATTTAAGACTAATAAGCTTCGCTGGTACAACATCACCCTCATTCAATACTTCCTTCTCTGCAGTTCTTTCTGGCAGCATTAGAAGCGCATTAGCATCGTTACAGTTAAGTAATTTGCTACTGATTTGATTTCCCGTACTGTAAGCCATTGGAAGTGTTTCTTTATCATTCCACCTCAAGATTGCTCTTGCGTATTCAGGACGCGGATCCAAATTGTACGATGACGTTAACTATGATATTAGAACAATGTTTTATGTATCATGCACATTTGCATTGTTTTGCAAAATATCAAGACGATCTTACAAACCTTAGCTTGTATTATGATTGACTCTGAAGCATCAAAGTGTAACTCATTCACAAGGGGTAAAAGGAATAAATGTGCGGTAACAAGAGCAGACACTGGATTTCCTGGCAGGCACAGGATAAATTTTTTTTTACCTAAGGTTGTGCACGTTGCAAATGTCGTTGGTTTTCCGGGCTTCATATTTACGCGTCCTGAAAAAAACATATTTTGATACTTATATAAGAAACGTGTATTGACATAGAAATGAATAAAAAAAGAAGGTACCGAAATGTATAGTAGCCTTAAAAACGTTCTCTAAAATAGGCTTCAAAAGATCTCTATCGCCCATTGATACAGAACCTGTTGTCACAAGTACATCTATTTTTTCTAAAGCTGTGCTGATTTTGTTTATTATGTCCATTGTGCTACAATGTGGTTATATATTAGTAATTAGAGATTATGTTAATTCTTTATTTATAATTAACTATATTAATAAATGAAAAAAGTATTGATACATATAATCCATATTCATATCTTTTATCTATAAATACAAGATTTAGTG